TGCGGTATCATTTACTTTTTTGAAAATCTTAATCTGAACATTCGATAATTTTTTTTGTATTATATGGAGTTCCAATTATATTTTTAAAGTTTTAACTATGCTGTTAACCATATGGTTAAATAACGGTTTTCATATGTTTACCGTTAATTAACGGTTACGGTTAATATATTTTTCAACCGTAACTGTATAAAACGGTTAAAAACCATAACCATTCACCGTAAAACTAGATTAGTTACGGTTAAAAAAAAATACTAACCGTAACCGTTAATATACCGGAAACGAATCAAAACCGTTATTTAACAGTACGATTAGCCGCACGGTTAACCGTATTATTAACCGCATAATTAAACTTTATAAAATATAATTATAACTATGTATAATGCAAAAAAAAAAGTCTCGAATGTTCAGATAAAGATTTCCGAAAAAGTAAATAATACAGCATATGAAAAAATCTCATTAGAAATAATGGTTTTTTTGTCAAACAATTATTTTAGAATGTTATATTGCTCGAAATAAAGAAAATTTTATTTATTATAGGACTAGTAAATTCATATTATTAGTCTAACAATAAAATATTGTTTATTCTATATAATCTTAATTTTCATATGTAATTATATACTAAAGTACATTTCTATGTAATTTTTTCTTTTTTTCTAAATTCTTAATATCATTTATTATGTGTACCGCTATGATGTTTCCAATCAGAATAAATTTTTAAAATTTGTTCTGCGTTATTTTTTTGTACAGCTTTCGTGTTTTATTCTTTTGTACAGCTTTGCACTATTTCCTAACAGCTAACAGCTCCAGCTAACTGCTCCAGCTAACTGCTCCAGCTAACTGCTCCAGCTAACAGTTAACAGCTTGTTACCAATTAGACCCTATATCTGTGTTGAAAATGGTAATATAATAAAATTCTCTTCAATCCACTGATTTCTTCAGGCTTGCCGGTCCAACTCATAAAATACAAAAATAGGCATATAAAAAGTGGCCTACGCTTTTATACGATTGACAAGGGTTGGCATATATAGATTAGTTTTGTTTTGGTTCGGTTCAATATTGGTTCGTGCATCCACTATCTATCGTCAACTACACACTATCCAGTAGCCAATGATTGACCGCGTGAATTAGACTAAAAGGTTCAAACCCGTGACGTGGATAATTAGCATGAGAAGGTTGACTTTTGTAGTGTTTGTTGCTTTCTACATTTTGATCAAATCACTAATTTCCAAATAAACCGCGTCAAACCCCAAAAAGTAGGAAGTATATGGACATACATCATCATCATCATCATCATCATCATCACCTCTTCTTCTCCTTTCATATATGTAATTTTCTTGTTTGCTTGTATTGACTAGTTAAGTTTCTTCGTATATGAAAACTCTATTGGCTATTGAACTGAATTCTTTCTCGATTTAATTCGTTTTTGTTTTTGTTTTTGTTTTTCATGCATTTTAAACCGAAACCTACATTCATTAGAAAACGTAATTATAAGACGAGGCCAAAAACTTTAACCAAAAATCGCTCTTGTTTAAACTCAACGGGAATTTTTGTATGCGAAACCATGATCGAATCACTCCAATTTCTTACCAGTTCATATATATTTGAGTTATTTAACCGAACTGAACCATACTATTTAGCCACCTAAACGATTGTTTTCACTTTTCATACGTGTGACACGGATTTAGTTGGTATATGGAATAGTATTTATTGCAATAATTAACTCTTATTAGGACATAATATCCCACATCGGAAGTTGGAAGGGATCCTAAATAATATATAAGGGATATGGGTCACTCCACTCATAGCCAATTGGTTTTGAGTTGGAAGCCCATATTCTAATATGGTATCAGAGCCCGATCCCCACATGTCCAACCCGATCCGACCCAAAGATGGTCCAATCATCGACAAGGCCCAAAATTGATGTCGTCGATCTAAGCCCGAACATTTCGAGATTAATGGCCAAAGAGCAATCATCTCGAGGGGACGTATTAGGACATAATGTCCCACATCGGAAGTTGGAAAGGATCCTAAGTAATATATAAAAGATATGAACCACTCCACTCATAACCAATTGGTTTTGAATTGGAAGGTCATATTCTAATAACTCTTTCATAATTTTCACAATAAAAAACACGTGTGTATAGTGTATACTGTATACACCATACATTGTGTTTGTGCAGTCCACGTATATCCCACACGTACATTTGCACACGTATTTTTTGTTGTCTCAGTGTTGTTCACATTTTGATTTCATGACAAGAAAAAACAATATTATTTAACCTATTAAAAAAATCTACAAAATTAGAACTTTTTGCAATGTTTCCCATCGTACACATTTTTTTCTCTTACAAAGACATTTCTTGTTCAGGCCAATTTGTTGGAATTCAAAATGGAACTGGGCGCTTTTATTTATTTAGTATATATGTAGTCTGAGACTCCACTTATAAGGAGAAAAAACTGTTATTTTTACAGAATTTATATAGTTGAATTTAAACCAGAAACTAGATTCGGACCCGCACGTTCGTGCGGAAATATGTTAATAGACTTATTTGGTTTCAATTTGGTTTAGATAAAAAAAGTAATCAGATTTGTTTTGTTATGAGTAATGGCTTGATTGGTTCTCCCGCTAGCACCCTCCTAGCGGTTGCTAGCGGTCGGTTGCGGTTGTTAGCGGTTAGTACCAATCATAGAAACCGCTCTGTACCGCTTCAAACCGCTCGAAATCGCTGAATTTCAAAAGCTCCTTCCCGCAAGCGTTTGCGGTTGCAGGCGGTAGCGGTTGGATTTGAAAAAAAAAAAAAAAAATCAAACCTTTACTTATAATTATTATAAAATATATAATCTTATATATATCTTTCATCTTTGTATCACGTTCTCATCAAAAACCCTAATCAATATTCTACAACCTTATTTTCTCAATGTCTTCCATCCAAACCGATGAAAATCAATTTGAATATTTTTTTCTTTTCATTATATATTGTTTTTCTTTTTGATTGAATATATGTTTCGATTTGTTTTCTCGAATAGAAAATTACTTGCTTTTTGATTGAATTCAACGTTATTTACAGTTTGTCCCATTACTTGATACAATTTTTGGTGTTAACCCAGCATAAAATACTATCTTATTATAAAATTTCTTTATTTTTGAATAATTATTTAGTACTTTATTTATGGTTTTAATTATTAAGCATGTTCAATTTTTCTAATATTATCATAATAATATATTGGTGTTTTTATTTCTTTTTTTTGTAATATTTTTTATTTTTTTAGTCATTTTTTATTTAACTGCTACCGCACCCGCTGGTTTACCAGTCATAAACCTTCCGCAAACGCATCCATTTTCAAATGCTAAACCAGTCGTTCAAAACGCTTGGTAACGCTTGAAACCGCAACCGCCCGCTTCCGCAAACTTCCGCAACCGCAACCGCAACCGCTGCGTTTAAACCAGTCAGGCCCTAAGAGACAAATACATTAAAATAGAGATAATGAGAGAAAGGTGGTATGTCCATTTCGAGATAGAAAACATGTCCCGTCCCGTCCCATATATGTCAGGACCTTTCTATCTCATAACCGTTAAAAAAAAAAACTATCCGTTTAGGATTGTATATTTTAGTCCAACAGATAAGGAAATAGATATGACATTCTGATGAAAAACCCGTATTTCATGTACTTTTCGTTTGTGTATTTAATTTTAATGAGAGTTTGAGAATTGAATTTAGCTACCTGGAATTTCGGTTTCCGTCCCGTTACCCATAATTCTCGTCCCGGATTTTATCGAGAATAGTTTGGATAGTATTTTTCATTTTCTAAATACCCGTTCTTGTCCCATATCCGATATTTTCTGAATTATAGAGAATTAATTTTTTGTATATTAATAATTTGAATTTCCCGTTCATGTCCCGTCCCTATGTGATATATCCCGATACTTCTAAAATTTGGTTTGGTGTATATTATTAATTATGGTAACTAAGCTACATTAATATTTCTGATATTTTAATTTTCTAATTTTATTTATTTATTTAATCAAACTAAAATATATAAATATTTTATTTATTTATTTTCATACTATTCAAATTCTAATTTATAAGTGTTTTGTAAGAAAATAGAATTTAATTTGAGAAACAATTGTTGGCGATGGCACAAAACGTAAAACATACTAAAACAATATCATTTTAATACAATAATATTATTAAAATAGACATTCAAATATCTTTTAATTATTTTAATTTAGTTGGCATAATTATAGATTTCACGTAGTTTTGGAATAGTTATACTATTAATCCGTTTAGTTATGGAAAATTTATTAATTATATTGATTTTTGTATTGGAATATTCCCCTATATTTCCGAAAAATATATATATACATATATGATATATTAGTTTTGATTGTGTCAGTGGAATATACTACTTTCAAATTATTTTGTACCTTCTTACTATTTTTTTTTGTTAAATTTTTGAATGCAATTATTTTAGTGGCATTCTATGTAATATTCTACAACTAAAAGGTTTTTTAGTTTTTAGTGATTCTCAATTAATAGTATAGATGAACTGGAAGCAAAAATAAAAACATAATCCCCACTCCTAGAATTTACGAAGTACTATAAGAAATACGACCGATAAATCTAGAACTATATCTTTGTCTTAATTTTTAAGAAAATCGGTTTCTTGGATTGAAGTCCATATTATTTTCTTACATGCATGTGCAGCCAGGTGTTTTTTGTCCGTAATGCTTCTGAAATATTCCTTGAATTATTATCTCTTAGTTTATTAAATTGATATATTCTCTCTATATATATATATATATTTGGTAAAATGTGAAGTAAGTTTAAATTAATATTTATTTGTGTGCATTCATAAAAAAGAGCAATTGTTGTAGAGTGTGAACACTGCACCACAAAATAATTTGGAGTTGGGAATCTTTCAAGTCAAAACCTAATTGAAAAAGGAAGAAAACACTGGTTATATCTATGACTTTATTTTGGGTCGGCTTAATAACGGAGTTTAGGACAAATTTATACGATTCATATAGCACAATCTACACGTATCAAAAAACTATAAATACTAAAATACGAAGTATTCAATCTAGATATATATTCTGCTAATCTGGAATATTGTTTTAACTTGAACTCTCTTATGAAGATATGAGCATCAATTTAGTGAAACAAATTATTGTTGTATATAGATAAGTCTTGGGTCCCCAGTCTTTGTCAACAACAATGACTTGTCAATTGTCATCGACCATGCCTAGCGCAAGTATAATAGATTATAGAAAATTATGAGCGAATAAAATCATTGAGTGAAAATACTATTTGAATAATTAGAGGAATCTTTCGAAAATTCGGAAGAGGACAACATGTTTAGCTGGACATACGTTCTTCTATCTTGCACCTATCAGATCATATATATTACAAAAAAAAGAAAAAGAGTTAAGCTCAAACAAACAAGAGCAACTCAAATAAAAACTTCTGGACGAGAAGCAGTAACTAATTAGAAGAAAAAAACACAACAACAATAAACCTTTATTTGTGATGGTAGTATAGAAAATGAAGCAAAACGTATGTAGTCAAATGTTTTTACCACATGAATGCACCAAAACTTCTTAGATCTTGGTTCTTAGAGTGGCGAACGAACTGAGAGAGATCGGTGGAGGAAAAAGGGATGCAAAAGAAGTGGATGTTGTTCCAATTTTTAGGGTTTCATTTGATGATTTTTTTTTTAATTATTGAAACAGAAACTGAACGGTGTTTCTAACTGTGTTAGCATGGTGTTAAGATGGCAAATATGTATAAACTCTTGTGTAAATATCCAATGAGATAGCTAGTTAGATATTTTTTGGCAAATGCTTAGGTGTTTTTTTTTGGCTAATTTCCCCTACATATATATGCATGTGTATTTTTAGGTTTTTGATTAAAACTAGCAAATTCTGTGGACTACAATAATCATCATATATGCCAAACTTCGCAAGCACATCAGTAATAACCTCAATAAATGTGAAGTAAATTAAAGTGGACCCTTTGCCTCTTGTCTACACATATGTAATCATCCATTTATGAACGGAATCTTATGAAAACCAATAAGTAATTAATTAATTTATAGTCTTTCTTTTCTATTCTATTGGTAATTTTGGAAACCAAAGATCCAAAGCTACCTCTATCGATTTACCCCATATACACAGTATACGAATGTCCCAGTTGGATACCAAATTGGTCGGTCAATTGGGTCTTAGTCAGTAGCCTAATGTCCGCAACATTAAATTTTAAAAGAATACGCATTCATATTGTAACAAACGTACATGTCCTCTAGACGAGCCTGATCTACCTTTAAGATTAGTTCAAAAGCATAAAGTCGACTGATAGCACAAAATTCTACCTTGCCAAATGTGTACTACGGTAGTTCGATGTTTTTGGGATGACCAAAAGTTATGTTTGAGAAGGCATTCATATATAATTTTTTTTTTTTGATAAAAGACGACATTCATATATTTTGATGTACGGGAGTAGGGTAAACCTAGAACAACACACTATTTAGATATTTATATAATACAACTATACAAGAGATATTTGTTCTTAATTAGGATTAGCTGGGGAAAAAGAGGCTCGAGATCTTTTTATACAGGTTTACCTACCGACCTCTAATTATTATCTGCACATACATGTGGACATATATAATTCAAAGAAAATTACATGCATAATTTATATATTACTCACTCTATTTCACAAAGAGTGTCATTCACTCATTCTACTATTTTTCACACAAATTAAAAAAGTAAACAAATTTTATTTCTATCCTTTATTAATACACTAAATATTACCCTCTCTCTAATTAATAAGCTAAAATAGTGAGGTTAAAAAAGAGAATTAGTCTTAAAAAATGCATTGAAAACACAAAACGATACTCTTTGTGAAACGAAATTAAAATCTTAAAACGACACTCTTTGTAAAACGGAGAGAGTATTAATTATTTTTGTGTAATTCCTGAAATTTAGCAAACTAATCTTGAATTTTGGGAAAGATAGTAAATTGAGTCTTTGAAGTGTTTAATTATCTTATTGAAACTATGTAGTCTAAATTATGTCAATGACATTAGAATTTAGAATACTTCCAAAGAACATGATAATAGCATTATCTAATATTTAAAAAATAACATTTATAAATATTCATTCCGTTTCGCAAAGAGTATTGTTATAAAGTTTTAATTTTGTTTCACAAAACATTAATTTTTTATGAAGTATTTATTTCTATAAATATGTCAAAATGACATTTTTGTAAAAGAGAGATATAGGGAGTACTCCCTGTTCTAAAAATCGGCCGCCTAGCCGCCTAAGAAATGATCGGGTGGGAACCGCGGCAAATCGGTGATCCGATTTTTGTCTGTCTACACAGTCTAGACCGCCTAGGCGTCCGCCGACGGCGCCTAGCCCAATTTTTTTTTTTACATTCTTTTTTTTTTTATCTAAAATTCAAAATGTCCCACTTATGTTCATAATCTGTATAAAAATCATAAGTTTGACCTTAAATTCTTGTTTTCATGTGTTTAATGCAATTTTAAAAACAATGTTATAATGGATTAATCTGTTTTTAAGATATTAAATTACCTTAAAACTAATCTCCGATTAATCTCCGTTAATCTCCTATTTTTTTGGTAGGCTTAGTCCACCCTCACTGCCCGAGTAGCGTATAGCGATTTTTTGAACATGAGGAATACTAGATTATAAAAATAGAAGAAATGAAAACTAAAATTAAATAAGACAGATTTGACCAATACAATAAAATCAATCAAAAAATTTGACTACATAAATCTAAAATCATAACTTGGTGTAATGTAAACATATATCTCATTTTTTAAAAAGAATAAAAAAAAATTGACTTTAGAAACAATATATTGACTTACTAGTCAATATAGAGGGAGAGCGAGTGTAAAAATGGGCCTACGTAAATCCAGCACTAACTCAGCCCACACAACTCTCTCTCACAGTCACAGACATATTTACGAAATTAAAAAGAAACGTTTATAAAATTAAGGGAAATAAATTAAAGTAATAATTAAAATGAGTCACTCACAGCCAAATTCACACCATTCTTTATTTCATTTTTCCCCCTTTGCCCAGATTCCGACAAAATCCACTCGTTTGATTCACCACTATATATAATTGAGCGGAGAAGCTTGACATGAAGAGCAGAGTCATTCTTAACCATAGAGACAGAAGAGATAAGAACAACAACAACAACAATAATTACACACAGATTGATACTATGGAGAGAAAGCCTCTTGAGGTTGAGCCATCAACGACGGCGGTGAACACCTACTCCGCCGTCGATGGCGGTGGTTCTGATGGTGTGACTTCGAAGGTCGACGACGAGCAGAGAAAAATCGTTTATAGAGGATGGAAAGTCATGCCTTTTATCATTGGTAACGCTTTGTTTTTTTCTTCCAATTCAGACAGCTTTTTTTTTCGGGTGCTTTGTCGGATTTTAGGAAATGGGAAATTAAACAGAACATTTAGTCCGTGATGTTTTTTAAATTTCGTTTCTTTTCTCTTGGCTTTGACTTGACTATGTCAAAAATCTCGAATTTGGAGTTTTTTCTTTGAGATTCCGAAACGAAATTGGTTAAAAAACTGAGATTTGGTTGAAAAAATGAAACCCAGATAATCTAACAGATCTGTCTAATGGAAATTAGATATACAATTGTTTTCATTTAATTTTCAAAGAGACTTTTAAAATCTTTACCCAAAAAAAGAAAGAAAGACTTTTAAATCATGCAGTTAAGTTTCTGAAAAAAGCAGATAAGATTTTTGTGAATTTCTGGATAAGACAAAATTAGTTTCTGGGAGTTACAAAACAGTTATAAAGTTTAAGTCAGAACATTGAAAGTCCAATCTTTGGTTTGTGTGTTTTGGGTACATTAAATGTAAAAACTGTATTCTTATCATTTATGTGCTATTGTATAGGTAATGAGACATTTGAGAAGCTTGGGATCATAGGGACATTATCAAACCTTCTTGTGTACCTAACTTCTGTATTCAACCTTAAGAGCTACACAGCTGCAACTATCATCAATGCCTTTAGTGGTACAATCAACTTCGGGACTTTTATTGCTGCTTTTCTTTGCGACACATACTTTGGTCGCTACAAGACTCTCAGTGTCGCTGTCATCGCTTGTTTTCTGGTACAACTTATATATATATATATATATATATATATATTAATCTTTGATGACTCCGGTTTCGTTTCTGCCAATATTTTCAGTGTTTTCTAAACCATTTTCATCTCTGTAGGGATCGTTTGTGATATTACTGACTGCTGCAGTTCCGTCATTGCACCCCGTTGCTTGCGGAAACAAAAGCTCATGCGAAGGGCCGAGTGTGGGACAGATACTGTTTCTGCTGATGGGTTTAGGGTTTCTTGTCGTAGGTGCGGGTGGTATCAGACCGTGTAATTTAGCGTTTGGTGCTGATCAGTTCAACCCCAAAACCGAATCTGGAAAGAAAGGGATCAACAGTTTCTTCAACTGGTATTTCTTCACTTTCACGTTCGCGCAGATCATCTCGCTCACGGCAGTTGTGTATATCCAGTCAAATGTGAGTTGGACGATCGGTTTGATCATTCCAGTGTCTCTTATGTTCTTGGCGTGTGTGATCTTCTTTGCTGGCGATAAATTGTATGTAAAAGTGAAAGCCTCGGGTAGTCCATTGGCTGGTATTGCTCGTGTTATAGCAGCCGCAATCAAGAAACGAGGATTGAAGCCGGTTAAGCAGCCTTGGGTGAATCTTTACAACCACATTCCGCCTAACTATGCTAATACTACTCTAAAATACACTGACCAGTTCAGGTAAATCGAAATCTCTTGTTCTTTGTTCTCTTGCTTTATGTTTCTGGCTTTTGTTTTGCTGAAAAATGTCGATTTGCTATGTTGCCAGATTTCTAGACAAAGCAGCAATTATGACCCCCGAGGAGAAGTTGAACTCTGATGGAGCGGCTTCCGATCCATGGAAACTATGCACGTTGCAGCAAGTGGAAGAAGTGAAATGCATTGTTAGAGTGATTCCAATCTGGTTTGCTTCCACGATTTACTACCTTGCAATAACGATACAAATGACTTATCCGGTCTTCCAAGCAATCCAGAGCGACCGACGATTAGGTTCTGGTGGCTTCAGGATTCCTGCGGCCACCTATGTAGTGTTCTTGATGACTGGCATGACAGTTTTCATCATATTCTATGACCGTGTACTTGTCCCGTCGCTCAGAAGAGTGACCGGGATAGAAACCGGTATATCACTCTTACAAAGAATCGGAGCAGGGTTTACATTTGCGATACTGAGTTTATTAGTTTCCGGGTTTATAGAGGAAAGGAGAAGAACGTTTGCACTGACCAAACCGACACTCGGGATGGCGCCTCGGACAGGAGAAATCTCCTCAATGTCAGCGTTATGGCTGATTCCGCAGCTCACACTTGCAGGCATAGCAGAAGCTTTTGCTGCCATTGGACAAATGGAGTTTTACTACAAGCAGTTTCCTGAAAACATGAAGAGCTTTGCAGGTTCTATCTTTTATGTCGGTGCAGGGGTTTCGAGCTACCTCGCTAGCTTCTTGATCTCAACTGTTCATCGATCAACTGCGCATTCACCTACAGGGAATTGGTTAGCTGAGAATCTGAACGAAGCGAAATTGGATTACTTCTACTTCATGCTCACAGGACTCATGGTTGTTAACATGGCTTACTTCTTGTTGATGGCGAAATGGTATAGATACAAAGGCGGTAATGATGAAATCATCACTGAGATTGAGACCAACGAAGAAGAGACCAAGCAACAGCAGCTACAAGACAAGAACTCTGTCTGATCTGGAAACTTATATATTTTTGGTCTTCTACTCCAATCTCCTATTTCTTGTTGTAGTTTTTCTTTACTCGAAATCAATCTTGTTGTACTTTATAGATTAATTGAAGAAGAAACACTTCATCTTTATAGACATGTATTGTAAAATAAAAATTTTGTTGCTAATTTCAAACTGTTTCATCTTTCACCAGAACAGGACAGAACAAACCGCTAAAAGAAGGCTACAAGGATTCGATATTTATGTGCAATATGTGTTAACTACAGACACCTCATGAGTCATGACATGACCCAACTGAGATCAGCTTGCACTCAGTCTCTCTCAGACAGTGTAAGCTTGTTGAATGGTTTCTATGTCGAGTCCTTTGAGTCTCACCACTGATTCAACATGGCCCTTGAGCGTGTGAAGTTCCCGCAACCTATATATAACAGAGAGCAATAGGCAGAGAGAAGACGATGAAAGAATGTTCTTTTGTTGTGTTCAAAAAGCCGGAGAAGATTTGGCTTTGAGTTACTTACCTAGCGATTTCAGCTCTCCTCTTGGCTTCTTCAGCCATTTGGTTAAGTTCACAGACATGGGTTCGATCTGTGAACATCTTAGTATCTGGTGCCTGTAGACCATGGAGCGTTCTCTGTGCGTGCGCCCATTGCAGCTCTCTTTGTTCTTTCCCAAAATCCTTTTGCCTTGTGAACGCAACCTATGGAAATGCAAGAAAACCGATTAGAAACTTTAATGCATAAAGTGGCACAAAAGCTACTTGTGTTCCTGATACATACCCTTTGTTCGATAACAAGATCCCAGGCTCTGCCACTAAGAGTGTAGCAGATGAAGAATTTGATGAAATCAAGTGGGACATAGAATATGATGTTATAAAGCCAAATGACCCCAGCCCATCCCCAACCAATTCCTTCTATCGCAGCAAAGCTCCAATTTGCATAGACTGCAATTAAAGTAGCCACCTGCATAATATCTCTCCGTGGCGTAATCCAAGGCCGTGGCGGTCTCTTCGTCGGCTCTCTCATTCCTTGATGTCTCTTTTACTTTCTCCAGTTTTGAAAGTTCGGCTATTAAACGACATTTTCTCTAACGAATTGGTTTGTCTAAGGACTAAAAGTAACATGGTATATGTCTTGATCAAATAAAATAAAATAAGCACCATGCTATTTGTAATTTTAATTATGATTATGATATTGTTAAACAAATTTAGTAAATATAATTAAGAAAATGGAGAGAGAGAAAACTATAATAGGCTCTATAACTAAATTAGATAAAGAATGAGAAATACAAAAATGTAAGAAAATCAGAACATTTTACTTTATAAAATTAAGAATGTTAAAATAAGCCAAAAACAGATACAATTTTTTTGGTTAAATAAATAATTATTACTCTTTTGTTTAACGTAGCGGTGGAAAGATCCTTCCCTCTTTCCCTAGTCTCCACGCATCTGTTTCGCATTTTCCCCCTTTTTCTCCGGCGACGGCCAATCATCGTCAACCGCCGGCGAAAACCTCAGATTCGTGAAGCTGATTGATTCATTGTGTGATTAAGATGGGTGTAGATTACTACAATATACTCAAGGTAAACCACAACGCGACGGAGGATGATCTCAAGAAAGCTTACAAGCGTCTCGCCATGATTTGGCATCCCGATAAGAACCCATCGACACGTCGAGACGAAGCAGAAGCCAAATTCAAACGGATCTCCGAAGCTTACGACGTTCTTTCAGATCCTCAGAAACGTCAGATCTACGATCTTTACGGCGAGGAAGGTCTCAAATCTGGCAAAATCCCTAATTCTTCTTCTTCATCGGAGGCTTCTTCTTCATCTTCTTCTTCTTCCTCGAGATATTCGCATTTTCATCAGCATAGGCCGCAGCATCCGCCTAATGCGGCGGCGTTTCGTTTTAACCCTAGAGATGCGGAGGATATCTATGCTGAGTTCTTTGGATCTGAAAATGGAGGAGGAGGTAATGGTGGTGGGAGAGGAAACAGAACGTATAGGAATGGTCATTTCAACACCGGTGGTGCCAATGGTTATAGCGGTGAGATGAGGAAAGTTCCAGCCGTGGAGAATCCATTGCCTGTGAGCTTGGAGGATCTGTATAAAGGTGTGGTGAAGAAGATGCGGTTAACTAGAAATGTATATGATGCTTCTGGGTATGTTTTCTTCTCTATCTCCCTCTCTACATACCGGAATCGAGAACTAGAAGAATCTTTCCTTTAGGCATTGCAATTATACACGACTATTTGGGTAAATTTGGTGATTGGTTTGGCTAAGAGAAGCTTGTCTCTTGGGAGATTTCCTTGAATTGACTTAATGGGGATACACGTTTATTGGGAGATTTGGGTAGTGATAGTCGCGCGGTCGCGGTGGACAATGTCTGCATAGATCGATGAGTTTTCGTGTTTCTGTTTGATCTTGCAGGAGGATGATGGTAGAGGAGGAGATATTGCCTATAGATATAAAACCTGGTTGGAAGAAAGGTACGAAGCTGACATTCCCTAAGAAAGGCAATGAAGAGCCTGGAATCATACCGGCGGATATTATATTCGTGGTTGAAGAGAAGCCACATCCTGTTTACAAGAGAGATGGGAACGACCTTTTGGTTAATCAAGAGATAACTCTACTTGAAGCTTTAACTGGTAAGACCGTCAACCTGATCACGCTTGATGGAAGGACTCTCTTGATCCCACTAACCGAGATTATTAAACCCGATCATGAGATTGTTGTTCCAAACGAAGGAATGCCAATCTCTAAAGAACCCGGAAAAAAAGGCAACCTGAAATTGAAGCTTAGTGTGAAATACCCGTCGAGGCTCACATCGGAACAGAAATCCGAGCTAAAGAGAGTTCTTGGTGGGGTATCATGAAGAACTCAATGATGAATGTAGATAGCAAAGGTAGAGGAGATGATAGATTGTGAATGGTAGGAGGGATTCTTCTAAGGAGGCTTGGATTTGAGAGCCGAAGAACAAACACAAGCTTTGCTTTTGTCTTTTTACTTCTCTTGTTTGAAATTAGACTTTTTCCCCTTTGTTTAATTATTTCATTGATTTGATTTGATTTAGTTGCCTTCTAATGTTTATACAGTGTACTCCATGAATTAAGGTATGCTTTGTTACCTATTTATCTTCTTTGATAAAAATTCCTATATCCCCACTATTATTATCTAGCTATGGTAAGCTTAGAATAGACAGCTGAGTAATTAGAGTTACGGATTTCCTACTTCTGGCTTTTCGTATGAAGATCAAAATTTATTTATAGGAATTGTGAAAAGAGCAGTAAAACTCTCAATGTACAGTTTTTTGTGACAAAGATATTGGCTTCACTCATTCCATACCATCTTCTTAACAACACTTATGATGCAACAAGAGGAAATAATCTATTGATGAAAATGTTTTAAGCCGTGGTGGAGACTGGGAAGAGCTTTTCTACCATGTTGTTGGAGAGGATTCTATTTGGGTCCAGTTCCCTGCGTGCTTTGTTGTATTCATCCACTGGGAAACGTTTTCTGATTCTTGCTTGTAGGGCTTCAAGTTCTTCTTTATCTTTTGGTATCTGATTACATAAACATCAAACAGAAAACATTAGAAATTGTCTAAATAGTAACCTCAACAGATTCTCATCTCCTTTGCTTACTTCTCACAATGAGAAGTTGAGGACAATTGTAGTTCAAGCAGAAACAAATGTAATCAAGATACAGAGACTTTTTGTTCGTTTAGTTACAGTTATGGATCTAACTAAAATACTAAATTCTAGAAAGGTGAGTAAATAATGGTATCTGTGTGTTGGGATACACGAATCCCATACTTATATTGGAAAATCTACAATTACCTCAATTTTAGCCCAATGTTCATACGCAGAATATTGATCCCACAATTGTTTCTGTGTCAAATGTCTATAGTGGAAAAATTCATCTGTGATGTCCTTCCTCTGGCGAGGGTCTGCTGTCGGGAGGTACATGATTATACCAACCTGAGACAAAATGTAATGTAGCATATTGTGTAAGTGTAGATGGCTAGCAATTAAAAGAGGAAAAAACCGGCAAACAGTCAGTGTTGGAACAAGATTGGCCAACAGCAAAAATCTAGCAAGTGAAACAACAATCTAGCCCCTAAGAGTACAGTATGTAGCATCATTTCTACCGGATTCATCTTTGTCTATGAACATTTTAGCATCAAATTTTCAAATGTTTTCCTCCACCATAAAGGCAGAGAGGCACAAAACAAGCTTCCTAAAGACTGACACCGATATCTTTTTATACTTTCATGATAGTCTAAGACAAGTAAATGGAAGAATAAAGGACATCAAACAAGAGTTACCCATGAAAAAATGTCATCCTCTGCAGTGCTGAATGCAGGACTAATGGGGCTCTTACTTCGAGCCGTCCATCGCTGCTCTATTGGAGATGGTGCTGGTATTGCTTCTTTTTCTATTAGTTTTTTCAGCTCTTCTATGTATTCAAGGTCTTTCATGCTAGGGTTGGCGAGGGTTCCAGCAGGAAAACAAGATTCTGATACCCACTGTTGACCACCACAGTCAAAGCCCAGAATTTCATCACTCCACCCTACTCTATATCCTTCTGATTTTTTCCAAAACTCCGCCTCAGCCTGATTTACTTTTGCAACATGAACGTCATTGAGAGGATCAAGGGCAAGTAGCTTATCTCTCAACTCTGTAAACGAAAGCTCCTTTATATCTGGCTCATTGCTGTCAGGAGACTTCTTACCAGAGTCCTGGACCCTATACATCATGGTGCAAAATTATTTTGTATTTTATTCAGACTTCCACATTAGAGAAAGCAAGTTAGACACAAGACTTAAAGAAAAATGATACCTGTACTTCACAATGCTCTCTCTATAGAGATCACGGACATGCTGTACAGCCTCCTCTGTAGTGTACTTTGGTTTGTCCTTAAGTGGCCCACTCCATTTTGATACAGGGTTGCATGTTACAACCACGACTGTGTCGGTATAAGGAATATATAGGTACTTAACATGCTTGTTTGCAGAGAGCAATTTTCTGAACAGCCAGAAACAAAAACAAAAGTTAGGAAACGTGAGACTATTTCTGGGATCAATTTGCTTCATAGTAGAGGGAGTGCTTTCCCAAATGCTAAAAATGCACTATGCCAAATGAATGGGGTAGTAACTAGAAAGTGAACAAAACTTAAAGCTAATGCATCAACCTGATACTTCTCTGATAATCTGACCAGAAGAAAATTTGTATACTGAGCATGGTTTCTCTAAGCTGGAGCCATAATATCAAGACTAAGATAGCGAAAGTTAGCAACACTTAACTTGTGATTTTTCTTGATTTCTTGCAAGTTTGAGACGTATGTGTGCTCCACAAGTTCATGTCTTTCAACACATTGGAGGGTGACCTCAGCAACAACTCCAAGTCCACCAAGGCCACATCGAGCTAGATGAAAGAGCTCCGGATCTTTCTCTCTTGATAGTTCAATTGTTCCCTTTGCAGGAGTAACCAGCTTCATACTGATCACCTGCTCATCAATAGGAGGCAATCTAGCACCTGTCCCATGTGCCCCAATCTGAAGATAAACAAAAATATAGAATCTAAACCTCAAAGCACAAGATAAAGACGAACAACTGAAGTTGTTTCAGATTCTTCATAAGTTCCACAACCCTAGACTTCACACAATGAAGAGAAGAGCATGCAAACCTGAATAATACCACCAATCTGCTGCTCTCTAATGGAGGCAAAGTTCTGAAGAGTCAGTCCATAGTCTTTAATGGCGTCAACCAATTGCTGGACCCTAATCCCAGCCTGCACCGTAACTCTCTTCTTCTCTTTATCCACCTCTAGAACTTTATCCATGAGCGCTAGATTCACCATCCCGGAGCGAGACAAACCAATCCCATTGGGGGACAGACCCGATCCAACGGGTCGGATCCTTAACTTCTTCTCATGAGATTCCTTAACGAGAGCTTCGAGGTCAGCTAGATTCTCCGGTTGACTAAAGTTCCTCGTCTGTACCTCATGCGTACCACTCCAATTAGAGACAGTGTGAAGATCTTCAGGCAACGGAGCGTAACGGAAGATTTGAGCCTTCTTGTGCTTAGCATTTTCAGGGAATGGAAATGAGAAGTA